GATGAAAGCCTGAAGTAAAACTGCTAAATTAGATACAATCTGGCTAATGTCCTATAGGACAATAAAACCATCACCTTTTGAATTGGTGTGTATTCTAGACAGAAATTAGTTACATCTTTAAAAGCCTAGAAATTATTTTCATCTTCTCACTTTGCTGATCATTACATGTAACTTTCCCGGCCTGTAAATGTCAAAATATATGGAACTTATTTAATTGTAAATAGTGTGTCAGAGTTATGTGTTTCATAGAAAAGGAAATGATCATTCTGTGGGCCTCTAATACCCCAATTATACTGAAAGGACTTGCTGTGAACATTATACTCCAGGCCTGTGATTGGCCTCGGAGGCTGTGGGTGGGCCTGTCAGGTGGCCTGCCCTTGCCTCTCAGGGCTGGTGATAGGACACAGAGGCTGCAAGCAGGCTCACCCTCTCTTCTCCCGGCCTGCGCTTGGCCGTGTAGGCTGCCGGCCAGCCCCCGTGTCTCTGTCTTTGTCCACTAAGGGCCTCACCTGCGTGCGCAACCTCCTCTTGTCCAGTTGTGACCTGTTACGGTGTCCCAGCCCAATTTGCATATTTCTCATCCTACATAATAAAAGGCTAATATGCAAATTGTCCCCTCAACCAGGAGTTCTACCAGGGGTCGCTCCCATCCCTCCGCACCAGCCTGATTGGGGCAGGCCAGCCAGACCCAAAAGTGCATGAATTCATGCACTAGGCCTCTAGTATATATATATATATATATATATATATAGAGAGAGAGAGAGAGAGAGAGAGAGAGAGAGAGAGAGAGAGAGAGACTAGAGGCCTGGTGCACGAAATTCATGCACGGGGGGCAGCTGTCCTGCAGCCCAGCCTGCACCCTCTCCAATCTGGGGTCCCTCAGGGGATGTCCGACTGATGATTTAGACCTGATCCCTGTGGAACTGAGTCTAAACCGGCAGTCAGACATCCCTCTCACAATCCGGGACTGCTGCCTCCCAACCACTTGCCTGTCAGCCAGCCTGATCAACACCTAACTGCTCCCCTGCCAGCCTGATTGCTCCAAACATTATTTTTGTTAATTTATGTCAGCTGGGTTTTGAGTCACATTTAGAAAGGGCCCCCAAATGAAAACATACATTTGGTTCCCTCAAATAAATTTTTATGGTTTTTATGTTTCAACATTTTCATCAAATTGGATGTCTTTTACTGTGTCCAGGTCTAACTTTATCTTTGTTCACATGACCATTCATTTGCCTGAACCTAGGAAAAAGTCCATCTTTAAATTATATAATTCTCATAACAGTCCATTTTTTGGACTTTCTGTTCTAGCAATGACCAGTTTATTCAAGAATCAATATCATGTTTTCTCCACTTCTTTTGGGAGATTTCTTTGTCTGCTTTTTGTGTAAATCCTTTAAGACTGTTTTGTAACTATGCTTTATATTTTCACTGCTTATAGCCTTAATTCCTAAATTTTGACATATTATTCAATATTTCTATGTTTTCCTAAGTACAACTAGAAAGAGTATCACAAGTTGATTATGAATGTGGATCTAGCTTCAAAATGTCATCTGTGGCATTGCCCTTAGACAATTCATTTAATTCTAATGCTCTCATTTCCTCAACTTTATTTTTTTTTGATAGTTGATAAGATTTTTATTTATTTTAAATGGACATTAATATTCATATATATTTACATCTTAAAAATCCAACTAATTTAGTGAAAACAAGGCATAGAATGCACACTGGCAGCAAAAGGTGCTTATTAACTACCAGTCATTGTTATGAAGCCATATCTATATACAACACTAAAGAAAATAAATAGACTTAACTAAAGTTAATAAGAAGCAAGTATAATTATAAATAATACCAGATTTTCAACAGGTATCTGTAAAGGTTTTACTACATAAGGATTTCACTCAAAGTAGACAAAATATATAGTAATCTCAAACTTTGAGGATACCAAATTAATTTCCTCTTAGTTGAGGCCTCTTCAACCTCAGTAACTTTTCGGAATGAAGCATAAAGTTATTGCTGTACATTTAAAAGGATTGGTCCAGTTGAGTTTTCTCTATTTTTAATTCCTCCTCTTCATTTACAGTATTGGCAGCAGCATCATTATGTAGATTATCTAGAATGTCTTCCTTAAGTTCATCTGACTTCTTGTTTTGATCCTCACCCATATTAACATCTTCAACTGTCTGTGCCCTGGATGTGTTCATTAACAAGTCATTTTCTAAGGATTGACTATTACTCAGTAGCTTTGCCTGTCTTCTTTCGAAGGCCAGCTGTTTATTTCTCTGAATTCTTTGTTGTTGCTCTTCAGTTAGGCTTCTACTTGACTCAGAAGCAAATGTCGCATTTTCAGATGAGTTTGTCAAAAATGGATCTAATTCAGTAGCAGTTACATCATGGTCATTATTTTCCCCTATTTCATCATTATTGCTAATAAAATCTTCATGTAAAATAGGGAGATCAAGTCGAATTTGTTTTAAACAGGTCTGAACTTCCTTTTTATTTCCCAGGTATTCAACTCTGTCAATAAAATCCTCAAATTGCAGTCTAGGGAATAGCCTATGTGCCCAGTGCTCCATGTGTCTGATTAGTGTCTTCAAGTCTTCAGCCTCATGACCTTTACCTTTAAATTTTGTCTTATCAAACACATGTCTTAATGCTGGAAGCCCTCTCTTTGAAATCTATCTCTGAGCATCAAGCTTAGGGATGTTCCTTTTAACTGTTCTCCTTGGAGGTACAGGAACAGGTGCTCCTCTTCCTGACTGTCATCAGGTTCAGCTCCTTCATCATCTCTGGAGAAGCTGGAGGAGGGAAAGGAGGAAACGTTTCATCTTCTACATGCTCATAATCTGGTAGGTCAATCAAGCCATTCTCCTGTGGTTCCAGCATCTTTTCTTCTGACTTTTCTCCCTTTCTGGACACTCCTCCTGGATCTTCTTTGAAGATGCATCTTCATAACCTCACGCGGACTCAGCTCCCAGCGTGGCATGGCTCGCAAACCGCGCTTCTCGCGAGACTCTCCATTTCCTCAACTTTAAAGACAATAACCATAACCTTAATAACAAATAATGGTAATACATTATACTAATAATATTGTTAATTATAATTCATGGAGTTCTTATGAACAGCAAATACATTATTAAAACCCATAACTGGCACACAATAAATTCTGAATCAATGTTAGCTAGTATCAGTAACTACTGAAAATGTTAATTAGTAGTTATATTTGTTTCTGATTGCTGCTGTAACAAAGTACTACACATAGCTTAAAACAACATAAAGTTAATTATCTTGCAACTAGTGGCCTGGTGCATGAAATTCGTGTGTGGGCGGGGGGAGGGAGAAGTTTCCCTCAGCCCAGCCTGCACTCTCTCCAATCGGGGACCCCTTGGGGCATGTCTGACTGTCAGGTTAGACATGCCCCTGTGGGATCGGGCCTAAACCAGCAGTGGGACATTCCTCTCGAAATCTGGGGCCGCTGGCTCCTAACTACTCACCTTTCTGCCTGCCTGATTGCCCCTAACTGCCTTTGCCTGATTGCCCCTAACTCCTCTGACTGCCTGCCTGATCACCCCTAATTGCCTCTGCCTGCTGGCCTGATTGCCCCTAAATGCCTCTGCCTCGGCCCCGCCACCATGGCTTTATCCAGAAGGACTTCCAGAAGGTCTCCAGAAGGTCTCCTGGTCTAATTAGCATATTACTCTTTTATTAGTATAGATTCTGGAAGTCAGAAGTCTCATGGGGCTAAAATCAAGGTGTTAGCAGGACTTCCATCCTTATAGAGGCTGTAGGGAAGAATCTGTTTCCATGCCTTTGCATTCAAAACTTTATCAGTTGACCTCACAGAAGCAGCACTGTAAACGTCAGAAAATGTAGTCTAGCTCTTGGTAGCTTCAAGCAACTGTCTTATGTTCATCTTTTCTGGTCATTTTGTACCTGATGACCATCTCATAAGAGAGTCATATGAGATCAAAATATTTGGGGATGAGTGGGAGCCAGAAATGGTGGCAGGAAAGAATGTGATGTAAACCACTGGTGAAAGCAACATGCACCTCTGTAGGGTCTAATGGAAGGAGAAAAACTTTATTTTTTCCCTGAAGATAAAATGGAATTATTGAGCTGGAAATCAGATGATATGTAATATGGTCTAAGTTAATAGTACCAAGCTTGGAACCTTAGATAACTGACGATTTTTCTTAGTCTCAAGTTGTGTGTGTGTGTGTGAGTGTGTGTGTGTGTGTTTTGAATTTCTATAACAGAGGTAGTAATAAATTTGGTATTTATTTTGAAGATAGTGTTGTTCTTTTCAACCAGGCATTTCCTTGGATATTAAGATGTACTTTATTGTATCTTTTATGAGTTATACAGCTCGCAAAGGCTATTATAGGGTACTGTTAAGCAAATGCTCAGGCGAGCATGCTGTGGCCTTTGGTACTTTCTGAAGTTCAGTTTAAATCTAGACATACAGTTGAGCACCACCAAGCCTATTGATATGGGAAGTCAGCATAATGAACATCTCTTAAGAACAGAAAAAAAGACAAAGATTAAAATTTATCATTTTCTTTTGTAAATAAGTAAATTATATTTTGAGCAACTAAAAAAGCTTAAGTTCCTATGATATAACTCAACTGGGAAATTCCTTATACAAATAAGTAAGCAATTTAAGGGGAATATAAATAGAGATTTATGGGGGGGGTGGTTAGAGAGCAACCAAAGGATTTGTATACGTGCATATTAGCATAATCAATGGACACAGACACTGGGGCAGTGGAGGCTTGCCCTGGGTGGGAATGGCTGGGAGGGGGGTAGGAGGTGGGGGGGTCAATTGGGGAAAAAGGAGACATATGTAAAACTTTAGACAATAAAAAAAATTTTTAAAAAAATAGAGAGATTTGTGTAATGATTCTATAACTTTTGAAGCCTATTTTACTGGAGATAAAACAAAGAAACAGAAAGCAAATAAAAATATGTAATAAAATGTGTTTTATTTTCACTCTTTAGAGTAATTCTTAATCTCCATAGAGCAATTCAGGAGGCCTCCCCATAGACTTTTCACAATTGGGGAAACAAAGTGGTAGAGTTATTTAAAACTTTTTATGGTTCTTTATGTTTAAAAATATGTACAAATATATATGTATACAAATTACAAATATTAAGAAAAATCAGTAGGTTTTCATATATGATTGCAAAAAAATTGAGATTGTTTAACGTTAACATTATAAGCAATCATAAAATAAAATGAGCCCCATCAGATATTTTGGCACATTATCTAGCATTCCTTAGACAATTTATTTATAGGCTCTAAAGGATTATAAAGACACAGCACACAATCATTTAATTCAGTATAAACTGCTTTTTGATATTGTTAGGTGGCTCAGAAGGCGGCGTAGGAAATAAAGAGAGCTGAGTCAATCAGAAAAAAAAGAAAAGGAAAGATTTTAATCGTTGTCCCTGGGTGACCCAGGAACCCCAAAGACAGGGCCAGTGGATTTGCACCAACAGGGAGTGAAGGGCTTCTTTTTTATACAGGTGTTTAATGAGGGGTGGGGGCATGAGCTGAGGAGGCTCCCGCCATGGGAGTCATCATGGTATTCAGCTGCTGAGGAAGTTCCCGCCGCAGGAGTCAGCAGGGTATTCAGGAAGGAGTCAGTATCTGTGTGGGGGTCATCGTGGATACCAGGGAGGAGCCGGTATCTGTGTCTGGCATGATGATCTGTTAGAAATTCCAGGAGGGTCCATTATCTCGTCACAAATCTGCATGTATCCGATCCTGGGCTCTCTCCGACCTAACAGATATAAAAAGCCCTGTTTAAATTATGCCCTTGATGAGGATAACATAAAGGAAAGGCTTCTTTAGCTCTTTGGCCTATGACACAATTTCCATACCCAAAGCTCTTTCTAACTTCTCTAGAGCAACTCTATTTCGTTATAGTGTTATTTGCTTACAGTTTAGACTCTCTCTAAGCAATCTCTACTGAGCATGACCAGTAGTCACATCACTTCCCATAGACTGACTTCCTCCACACAGTTGAGAGCCGAACATTGTCGCTGCTAAGAAGCTAGGTAAAGTGATGACTCCCTGCAATGGCATCCAGCACATGACCACTTGACAAGAGTGCTGCCCACCTTAGTGAGTTCAAGATGTTGATCAAGTCCCATTTGACTGAGCATATTGTGAATCACACACCCCCTAGGTCACTTTCAATCCCCCCTGAGAAAATTAGAGGGATGGCATTGAGGTAGAAGAGAAAATGATCAAATGTTCTTAGTTATACAATTCATAATCTTTTCAAGGAAGTAATCATCATTGAAACTATTGAAATGCACATTTTACCAATTATGGGCATCATAACTTTATAACAATACAAAAGTTTGATATAATTATTATAACATTTATTTAAATGGTAATTGTCCCATGTTTTATAGTGTCTTGTTTCTTTCTATCTTCAGTGAAAAGTGAACATGAAAAGAAGTTCAGATGTTTAGCTTTAGAGTAAGATACAATCATCATTTCGTGATTTTGCTTGCTGTAGTTGCTGAATCTCATTCTGAAGTCTTCTCATTTCAGACTGTTCTCTCTCCCTCTGCTTTACAGCCACTTCCCGAAGAGTGACAAATAAAACTAAAGAGCTTAACAAAAAGTAATGTCCACATCACTGGGAGTGCGGGGTGGGGAGGATAAGCCAAAATCATTGAGTATCCTCACTTATTTTTTTAAATATATTTTTTATTTATTTCAGAGAGGGCGGGAAAGGGAGAAAGAGACAGAAACATCAGTGATGAGAATGATTGATCAGCTGCCTCCTGCATGCCCCCTACTAGGAATCGAGCCCACAACCTGGCATGTGCCCTTGACCAGAATCGAACCTAGGACCCTTCAGTCTATAGGCCAATGCTCTATCCACTGAGCCAAACTGGCTAGGGCATAGCCTCACTTATTTTAAGCCATCGGTAACAAAGGCCAGTCCCTAAATTCTCCTTTTTATTCATGCCCAGTTTACCTCTCATGATTGGTTTCCTACCTGAATAATTCTCCCATATCTCTTTCTCTAGCTGCAGAGACATCACCATCTCTCAATTCCTGAAGGATTGGTGTTTCAAGAATTGCATCCTGAGGTCCCTTCTCCCTTCCTCCTTGGGCAATCTGAGTGACATCTTGACTTCAGTTTTCATTTCTACACAGAGGAATGTCAGATCTAATGCTTTGAGGAAAGGCTAATACAACAACTGGGTGTCTAAGTGACAACCACAATCAGGTGAGGCGTCTGAGCCTTAGACCAGGGAATTTGTTTCCAGTCTCCACAGTTATAGGGCAGGAGTGGATGAAAGACTGAGGAGAGCAAGAACCCCAGGTTGACCATCTGCTCTTTAGTGTAGATCTATATTCACGAAAATGTCTTGGAGCTTCTGGAAAACTAGGACCTACAGGTAGACTGGTCACCCTGGGGGAAGTGTTCACATAAGAATTCATACTAGGTTTGCAGAATAAAAACCACTGCAGTTCTCATTCTCTGGGAAAGCAGTTTGGATAACTTTCTAGGCTGTGTGATATGACATTTAGTTATCTCTTTGGAACCTAGTGTTTTTAAGGAGACATAATGGTTCTGCTTCACAATGAACAGATTAGATGAGAGAATGCGCATAAAGTACTTTGTACACTACTTGCTACGTAGGAACTACTGCTTATTGAGGGCTTGAATGAAACAAACCCTGCAAGTTAAAAGCCTCAGAACCAGTGACAATTGAGGCAGGGACATAGACACAGTAATATGAAATCAATTTAACAAAGTAATCTATGACCAAAGGAAAAGATTGTCTATAGCAATTAACCACTTAACAAAAAAAAAAATTAACTGCTGTGAGTTAGAAATATCCTTATTTAACGAAGTGAAGTGCTTATTCTGTGCTCAGCACTAATCTAAACACAAATATTTACTCACATAATTATTAAATTACCCTGTAAAAGAAGTGTTAATACTGTCTCCATTTTCCACAAGTGGAAACTAAGGCACAGAAGGGACATATAACTTGCCCAAACCATATATTTAGTAAGATGTGGAGCTAGGATTCTTACCAGGCTGTCTGACTCCAGAGTCCTTGCCCTGAGCCATAAAGTTATGCTGTCTCTCCCTCTTTGTTATAGTTTCGTGCTCTTATCAATACAAAGAGGGAGATGTGATTAAAATGGTGAGATGAAATAACGGGTAAGTATACCTGGAGCTAATGTTCCCAAGCCATCTGTTCTTGTGCCAGCTGTTGGGCTCTGTGTATCTCCATTTGTCTCAGTTGCTCCTGATGCTGTCTCTCCCTCTCCTCCATCATTTGCTGGTTCTGCCTTTGAATCTCCTCCAACCTTCGTGCTTCAGCCTCTGCTTTCAAATATGCTTCTAAGAAAGAAGAAAATGACAAACTCCTCTAGGATTAAAGTGTCCCTTCCTTCTGTCTCCTGTTCTTATTGCTTATTGCTTATTATTACTTCATAGAGAAAATTCTCTGGGGCCATTTTGCCTTTTCAGATGACAGTACACACCCACCCAGATAAAGCTTGACGAGCTAAAAGTCATCTTTGCCGTTCTTGCTCTAGTTTAAGATCCCAGGTAAGCCAGGCCAAATTAATTGAAAATGTACAGAAAGTTCTATCTTGCATTTCTTCCATTTTCTTCTCACCTTTCCTCTCCTTTTCCTTGGCGGTGAAAACCAGGTCTGTGTATAGAATGGCATCACTCACGGACTCCTTGGACTGCAAATAGTTCTGCAAAGCTTCTTCAGCCTAGGACCCCAAAGCCATGAAGTTAAAAGTAGGAAACGGTGATTGGGCATGTTGTAAACCTTTTTATTTATTTTTCTTCCCAGCATCTTTTCCTCCCCAGAACTGCTCAGCGTGCACTCCGTGGAACTGTCAATCAAGCCTCTTTTTCACAGGAGTGGGCACAAACTCTGGGCTGGCTCATCAGAGCACCCAAATTCACTGGGTACAAAAGAATTTGGTGCAGGTGAGAAAATGCTCAACATGGATGTTTTAGAGACAGATACGGGTGCTGGGGAAATGCTCTCTCTCCTCTGAGACTGAGGGCAAAAGATCTAGTTAAGCTTGGAGATGTTGGTGTCCTCTTTGCTGCCATGCCTGAGAATGAAGCCATTAGGAAAACAGAACAGAAAACTAAGTGGGAGTTGGAAAGAAAAAAAGGAAGGGGGAAATTGATGACATTGTTTAAATTCCTGAATGTAGCTGTAGTTGCAACTAAATTTAAATGTTTTATGTAAGCCAATGAATTACTTTTTTCCTGTTCGTTTCAATTACTGCAATTCTGTCCTATGTAGCCAAAAAAGTCCCTTTGTTGCAGTGAATGTTGATGGTTGCAGTAAAAGTCTGGTGATTATGGTCATAGTTCAGTTTAATCCTACAGCTATCATTAGAGTATAAATACTTTCTTCCTGTCTTCACTGGATTTTGAAAGAAGCCCTTCCCCACTCCAAACCCCGAACAATTTCCCACAATTAATGCTTGAAACAAGGAACACCTGTATTCCTTTCCTGGGCTCCTCATAGTACTTTGCCTTCAGCTCTTCTCTCTTCTGAATGAAGAGGCGGTGCCCTCCGGGCTTTGAGTAAACCCCCTGCTTCACATATTCCTCTAGAGGACCAAAGATATCTTGAAGTAAAGCTGAGCAACGATCTGATGATGCCTCCAAGTTCTGCTTACGAAAGTCATCTTGCTTTGCTTCCAGCAGGGTCTTCAAAGGGACAAAAGCCCATGGAAAAGATGTTAGCAATACTTCAGTATTTCTACAAGTGATTCTCAGAAAGAATCTCTATTGATTTTCTAGAAACTAGAGAACAACAGCAAGACTATATCCTCCCTACCAAGCCTAGGAAAGGTCCAAGGATGTTATGGTATAGAAAAATGACTTTAGTTTTGTGTTCCAAATCTCCTGAAACTCATTTCTCTTGATACGTCTGCTTTAGATGTGATCTTCAGACTACAGATATCTAACCTCAGACCCTAATTTTGTATACAACCTACTCATTTATGACCATTCCTTGTTTCTGTATTTTCCTGGGCCTTGGATTCCCAACAAGGAAGGGCAGTGGAATAATTAGCTAGAATGATATGAGTGGATACTATTAAACCTGGAGACATGATATTTTAGTAGAACCATTTGGCAATTCTGTGTACTAGATTAATATAAAAGAAAAGTTAATTAATACTTTATGAATGCAATTTTTAAAGAATAAGATTAATTTAAAAAATTAGTTCATGGGTGTAACATGGTGAGTTGTGTGTGTGTGAAAGTATTAAAATCCATACAACCCAGAGTAGTTACATGTTGCTTGTTTGTTTGTTGTCAGAATAAAAGTGATATCTTGTTCATATAAGTAAGATTCATTATTTTGCAGTCTAGTAAAAATTGCTTTTCTTAAGTCCCCATTTTGCATTTCATAGCAATACTTGTATTACATGTAAGCCCCAGGAGCCAGGGCAAAGCATATTAATTACCTCTAATTCCTTCTGGAAGTTTTGGTCCACATCCTTGAAGGAATTATTGATGAAGATTTCGATGGCTTCCTTCTCACAGGTCCTGTGCAGGTCCAGCAGCTCTTGGAGGTTTTCTGTGGGGAGCTGCACCTTCTGGGCCATCTGCTGGTCATAGTGGGCAATGGCCTTTTGTACTGCAGCTGAATTCTTGATTTGGGCCAAGGCCAAGACTGCATTCTCCATGCAGGGCAGGTTCCCACTGCTGATGGCATTGACATAGGTTAGCACCAGGCTTTCTAGACCTTCACAGGAGAAAGAGATGCTTGCATTATTTGCAGAAAAAGAGGGCATGCTCTAAAATTGGATAGTTCTGAGAATGTTAATTTGACAATGCATTGCCTGAGCTTTTTCAGTATTCTGCATAGTGTTCAAGTGGCTAAAATATGTTTTTTGTTTGTTTGCTTGTTTTGTTTTGTTTTTAGAAATTGTGTGACTAAGAAGCCAGATCTTTCTTTGGGAAAAGAAAGTATTCAAAGGAGAAACATCAAGCTGTATATAATAATCCTAATGCCATCCTTTTTCTATTGAGAAATGAGGAAATGGTTAAAGTTATGCCTATTCATTTTATTAGATTGCTATAGGCCTTTTTTGCCTCTTTATTCTTTCCTTTCTTTCCCTCTTCCTCAGGTTTCATTTTCCTTCAGAATTCCCTTTTCTCTTCCACTTCAGTATGTAAAGCTGGTATGAGTATTAGCTGAAAAAACACAAAGTGAGCAAATTAGACTGGCTCACCTTTTACTCTTTGTTAGAACTTTCCTATTTGTCTCCCTTATCCCTTGCATACTTTTGTTTGCATTCACCATCCTTCTAGAACAGTGATTTTCAACCTTTTTCATCTCATGGCACACATACACTATTACTAAAATTCTGCTGCACACCAAAATATGTTTGTTTTTCTATTGTCAATCTAACAAAAAAATAGGTATAATTTAGAATCATTCATAGTGGTTGGCTATTGTGTTGACTATTGCCATATTTTTATTTGACATTCTAAAGGAAATGAAGTCAGTGCCCCTGACTAAACAGTCAGGTATTACATGTTTTAAGAATTATTGAGGCACACTGGTTGAAAATCATTGCTCAAGAGTATAGCAATCATTCATAGAGTTCTGAGGCATGGTGTCTTTATAAAAAAAATCTGGTCCAAGATGTTTGCTTAGATTTCCTTTAAAGCTCTAGACAACCTGAGCCTCTGTTTAATTAATGTTTATATCAAGTACGTTCCATTTTTACAGAGAACCTATATGTTATCTTGTGCTTATCTAAGGCTGTGACACATAATAGATATCCACTATATTCATGGAACAAATGTTGCCAACTCATGTGGTTGGTCTAGTCCAGTGGTCAGCAAACTGTAACTTGCGAGCCACATGCGGCTCTTTGGCCCCTTGAGTGTGGCTCTTCCACAAAATACCACATGTAGGCGCGCACGTACAGTGCGACTGAAACTTCGTCGCCCATGCGCAGAAGTTGGTATTTTGGGTCTAGTCCAACAATGGACCACTTATGAATAGAACTCCTTAACTTGATCTTTTCTTCAGATGGTATTTCTATTTTATACTACATTAGAGGCATTACTAAAAAATCAGTAGGAATGTTTTGGGTACCCATTGGAACTTAATAATGTGATGTATATAATTTTCTTGGTTGTAACTAATGAAGGATTTTCAACATTGACAGTGAAAGGAGAAACTTTTAACAGTGCCCCATTCTTTATGTTGAGTTGAAGGAAAATCCTAAGGAAGGTACTCACGAGGTCCATTGACCTTGATGCCTCCTGAAAGAGTTTTTGCCTTGGAATGGTGAAAGATGTAGGAACAGAAATCTGCCACTTGTTGCACAAAGTCAGGATCCAGTTCATCATTATGCAGTGTCGGAAGATGGGCAAGCTTCTTCCAGTGAGTGGGAGAGTCAAAGACAAAGCATTTCTTTCTTGCAAAGAATGTCTGTATGCAATGACGGGGCAAATTGAAATTTTGATGATTTTCATCAGTGTCTGGGGAAGGAAAAATTGACTTTATTTAGTATAGAACTAGCATTCATTTTAGTGTATTTCCCATGAATAAATTTGCCTTTAATGTGATGTTATCTATTTCAACACATCTCCACAAACTCTAAGCAAAAAGTTAAAAGGTAACCCATCAGAGAAAGGAAGAAAGAAAGGTAATTTGCTCCAAGAACATTGAGTAATACAATCTCATATTGAATCTATTAGTTCACTTTAAATTAGTAGTGTTCATTATTTACTTGGCATTTTAACCAAGTGATTAAATATAGAAAACTATAAATGTAACCACTTACACACAGAGATCCTATAAAATAAAGAGGTAATATGCAAATTGACCATCATGCCCTTGCACAAGATGATCACCACCAGATGGCCGGCAGGGGAGGGCAGTTGTGGGCAATCAGGCCAGTAGAGGAGGGCAGTTAGGGGCGACCAGGCTAGCAGGGAAGGGCAGTTGGGGGAGATCGGGCCTGTAAGGGAGGGAGGGCAGTTGGAGGGACCAGGCCTGCAGGGGTAGGCAGTTAGGGGTGATCAGGCCAGCAGGGGAGGGCAGTTAGGGGCAACCAGGCCTGTAGAGGAGGGCAGTTGGGGGGGACCAGGCCTGTAGGGGAGGGCAGTTGTGGGTGATGAGGCCTGTAGGGGAGGGCAGTTAGGGGTGACTGGGCCAGCAGGGCAGGACAGTTGGGGGCAACCAGGCCTTCAGGAGAGGGCAGTTAGGGCAAACAGGCCTTCAGGGGAGGGCACCCTCTCACAATCTGGGACTGCTGGCTCTCAACCGCTTGCCTGCCTCCCCAGGCCTGCAGGGGAGGGCAGTTGGGGGCAGTTTAGGCCTGTGGGATTGGGCCCAAACTGGCAGTCAGACATCCCTCAAGGGGTCCCGAATTGGAGAGGGTGCAGACTAGGCTGAGGGACACCCCTGATCCCTACCTCAGTGCACGAATTTCATGTACTGGGCCTCTGGTATTCTTATATTACTTTTCTCTCTCTTTCCAGAACTGAAGTCCCTGTTACCTTCTTTCAGCTTCAATGAGTTCTCCAGGTAGTCATCTGCTGTGATGTGTCTCCCATCTGCTTCCAAGGAAAGGTAGAAATCTCTCAGAGTCCACACTAAGTCTGGACAGAAGCTCACAGCATCAGCTGCATCTTCAACTCCATCAAGATCAGGTGGAGAAACTGTCCTGAGCTGATTTGACAGTTCTATTACATAACTGAGATATAATTAAGGAAAACTGGTTGGAAATAGGACTGCATCTAAGCCCATATTGCATTCCTTACATTCTTATACCATTATGTTCTCTTTTGGTTGTAACCAATTCTTCATAACATCAGTAAGTATATGAGCTGTTTTTGTTGTACTTTTAATGTTTATCACGTTTTTATTTTTGTGTTTGATTCAAAAGGTTCATAAACACAGCTGATGGATAGAAGAATTTTCTCTGGCTTTGGTGCCATTCTGGATCATAAAAGGATACTGCAACAGATCAAGAGCCCTCTGGTCAATTTTGTTCATGGTGTTGTAAACAAAGGTACTACTCAATAGTATTGCCAGTGCAAAGATCTGAGTATCATTGTTCTGGTCACCCTAGAAATAAAAACAAATTTAAGTCATGTCTCATGGCATTCCCAGATGAGCAATTATTAAAAATAAGCCCCTGATCTACAAGGTTAAATGAACAAACAAAAATTATTGTGAAAAACATATCACTTTGAATAGAATAGTTCTGTCATTAACACTGATAATTTTTTATGCTATTATCACTATATTTTAATGTATACTGATACAAAAACATACATGGTAATGACTATTGAATGTCATTGGACATTTGGCATGTTTTTACAAATCTTCCCCTATCTCAACCATATCACCAATGACCAATGAGGGTCGCCCTTGCTGGCTGGTTCCAGGTGGAACATTGGGGTGTCATCAGTTCTATTGTGGCTAGAGGCTCCATGGTGACCCAGCTGTCCTGTATTGATGGTCTATGAAGGTGCTGTGGTCCTCTATAGAGCTGGGCTCAGGGCCCTTTCTTCGGAAGCTGGGTGAGGAGGCTATGGGGCTGCTGCCCAATGGCCAGAGTCCACGCCTCCCTGTCCACGTCCTCCAGTGGGAGATATTGGTGTGTCCATCTGTCAAAGGCTTCTTGGTGGGTCTCGTATTTATAATCAGATTTGTTCCATCTGTTCAGAGTCCACCTATGTAAGATGTGAAGTGCACCTGACAAAGGCACTGGCTGGACAGATGGAGGAGAAATGCCAACTCATTAAGTTGAGCGCGGCTAAAGAGAAGTGCAAGGGGATAGAGTCATCTTAGGCAATGCCAGGCATGAGAAAGCGTCATTAAATATGCCCTGGCTTGCCAACACTTGCAGAAAGGTGACCACGACCTACTGGGCGCTGAAGCAGGAAATTACATCCCTGGTTCACGAACTGAAGGGAGAGAGATCCAAACACTCCAGACAAGAGGAGGAGATGGTGGAGATGCTAAAGACCCTCAGGTACCTGGAATAGGCCTTGAAAATCTCCACTTCACAAGCTGCTGTTCCAAACCTGCCAGGATGCCAGGAGCCACACCCTGATGGTCCCCTCCTCAGGGGTGGAACTGGGTCCTAAAGCAGCGCTGTTCCCTCCTCTCCACATGGGCCTCTCAAGCTGCTAGCTGTGCTGCCTGCTTCCACCTCCACCTGACGATCCCTGAGACCCGGGGTGCATCCTTAGGCTGGACTCCTCCTCCTCCACATGCTGTACACAGGGGTCAGCTCCTGCTGGACGATTCCTCCACATGTAAAGAACACAAGACTTGCTGCACTCACCAAGAAATGTGGGCTTCTCTATAGTCACAGAATGTTCGATTCTCTCTTAGCAGCTGTGAAAGAAATGCTGTCCATAAGAGTTGTATCTTTGACTCAGATTGTTTTCATCAGCCTACATTTCTCAGACTTTGGTCATCATTATATATGGTAATCTAAGTCAACAGTAATATTTTATTATCTTCTTAAATGTTCTATTTTAATTTAAAAATATATGCAGCTTTGCAATAAAGGCACTTAATTGTAAAAAAAAAAAAAAAGTCACTGAAATTTGGAGCTTTATACAACATGTAGTATTATTCTATCATATTTACAAAATGGCAAATATAGTATAGGTTTTTCCAAATGAGTTATATAAGGACATTAATTTTTAAGGAAAAGACTACCTACCTAAAAATGAAAGTTTGTTTTGATTAAACTGGAGTTCATTTGTTTATAAATATTAATCAATTATATAACATGCATTAAACTCTATGTAAAATAAAATTTCAGTGTACATAAATTTTATGTACTGTATGGTATTTTCCTTAGATTTGGGATGACTTGTCTCTCTGGATCCCAGATCATTTGATGCTTTTTTTAAAGGTTTTTTTTTATTGTTGGTAATATCACATATGTCCCTTATTTTTACCCCACTTCCCCCCTCCACCCAAACCCCGCCCTACCTCCGGCCTTAACCACACTATTATCTGTGTCCTTAGACTATGCATATCCTATATAATAAAAGGGTAATATGCAAATTGACCCTAACAGCAGAACGACCAGTCGCTACAACATGCATTGACCACCAGGGGGCAGACACTCAATGCAGGAGCTGACCCCTAGTGGTCAGTGCACTCTGACGGGTAGCTCCACTCAGCCACAAGCCAGGCTGTCGGCTGCGAGTGCAGCAGTGGTGGTGGGAGCCTCTCCCCACTCCTCAGCAGTGCTAAGGATGTCTGACTGTGGACCTAAGCTGGCAGGTGGACATCCCATGAAGGCTTTTGGGCTGCCAGAGGGGTGTCTAACTGCCAGCTTAGGCCTAATCCCCAGGGAGCAGGTCTAAGCTGGCAGGTGGTCAATCCCCAAGGGGTCCCAGACAGTGAGAGGGCACAGGCCAGGCTGAGGCATGCACCCCCCCCCCCCCGGTGCACCAGGCCTCTAGTCTCTATATATAAAAAGCTAATATGCTAAGTGTCTGACTGTCCAACTGGTCTCTATGATGCACACTGACCCCCAGGGGGAAGACGCTCAATCCAGGAGCTGCCATGATGCACACTGGCCATTTACAGAGAAATGGCACCGCAGACCTGGTGCCCACAAAGCAACACTCAGCTTCCCCCAAGTGGGACACAGGCCCTGCCACCACCTTGGAGTAACAACCCACCGAATCACAGCCGACACAGACTCCATGGTGCAAAATGTGGCCCACAGCCCAGCCCATCCTGGAAACAGTCACTGTGGGCACCGGGTAATGACATCACGTAGCAATGCCCGGGTTCCTCTCCCTAGCAACTAGCCTCCTTGGAGTTTCTTCAGCCCAGGAATGCGACTTACTTTATAGCCAGGTGCAAACATTCTACACTTTAACCAAATGTCTGTGAAGCCTTTTTCCATGCCTCATCTAATTTGATCTTCACAGAAGTCCTGGAGTAGGTAGATAGGAGACTCAGTGGAATCCTATTTTCTTTTCATTAGCCAGAAAATGGAGATTTAGAAAGCTTAGAAACTTGGCCCAACTGAAAAGAAGTTAAGGAATAGTGGACCTTGAAAATGACTTCAGGTTTTCTCACTGCACAGAATATAGTCAAACACTGCTACAGTTAAATATTTCACACTTTGTTCTCCCTGTGTGATCTACAATAATAATCTGCTTCATGTTGATATTTACTGCTGTGTTGCTGACAGTTACCTGAAAGATAAGTTGGGGTACTTCACTGGTCTGGAGAAAGTTTAGCTACATCAGAAAGCAGGTCTAATTAAGCAAGTTTATTCTATATCTATAAAAGGCTAAATTGACTCGTGCATGCATGATACATATAAAGCTCTCGCTGACACCCACTGCATGTGTATGTTTCAATCTGTCATTGTCGATTGTGAATTTGGTTGTCACTTCTATTATGGAGAAAGGGTGACTAGTGATATTAAAATTTCTTTCAATGTTCATGACTCCATGCACCGGGCCACTAGTATGCATATAAGTTCTTTGGTTAATCTTTTTCCATCCTTCCCCCCACCCACTCCCCTCCTCTCTGAGATCTGTCAGTCTGTTCCATGCACCCATGCCTCTGGACCTATTTAGTTCATCAATTTATTTTGTTCTTTAGATTCCACATATAAGTGAGATCATGCTATGTTTTTCTTTCTCTGGCTGGCTTATTTCACTTAGCATAATGGTCTCTAGGTCCATTCATGCTCTTGCAAAGGGTAAGAGATCCTTTTTTACAGCTGCATAGTATTTCATTGTGTAAATATACAACAGGTTTTTTATCCACTAACCTACTGATGGGCACTTGGGCTGTTTCCAAATCTTAGCTATTGTAAAGAATGCTGCTTTGTAGATAAAGGTGCATATATTCTTTCTGATTGGTGTTTTTGGATTCTTAGAATATATTTACAGAAGTAGGATTGGTGGGTCAAACGGCAGTTCCATTTTTTACTTTTTGAGGAGACTCCATACTGTTTTCCATAGTGGCTGCACCAGTCTGCATTCCCACCAGCAGTGCACGAGTGTTCCCTTTTCTCTGCATCCTCGCCAGCAGTTGTTGTTTATTGATTTGTTGATGGTAGCCATTCTGGCCTGCGTGAGGTGGTTCCTCATTACAGTTTTAATTTGCATCTCTCTGATGATTATTGACATTGAGCATTTTTTCATATGTCTCTTGGCCATCTGTATGTCCTCTTTGGAGAAGTGTCTATTCAGATCCGTTGCCCATTTTTTAACTGGATTGTTTTCCTTTTGTTGAATTATATGAGTTCTTTTTATATTTTGGAAATTAAGCTCTTATCAGATGTATTATTGACTAATTTTTTCTTTGGTACCTTGGGTTCATTTAGGTGATGGCTTCTTTTTCTGTGCAAAAGCTTTATAGTTTGATGTCTCACTTGTTTTATTTTTTTTTTTTTTCTTTCTCTTGCCCTAGAAGATGTAAGAAAATTCTGCTACATGAGATGTCTGAGATTTTACTGCATATGGTATCTTCTTGGACTTTTATGGTTTCTTGAATTACATTTAAGTCTTTTACCCATTTTGAGTTTATTCTTGTATATTGTTTAAGTTGGTGGTCTAGATTAATATTTTTTTCATGTATCTGTTCAATTTTCCCAACACCATTTATTGAAAATACTGCCTTTACTCCATTGTATGTTCTTGCCTCCTTTCAAAAATTAATTCACCAGCCCTAGCTGGTGTGCTCAGTGGTTCAGCATTGGCCCCAGCACTGAAGGGTCTCGGGTTTGATTCCCTGTCAAGGGCATGTACCTTGTTTGTGGGTTTTCTCTCTACCCCTGGTCACGCTTGTGTGGTAGGCAACCAGTCTATGTGTCTCTTTCACATTGATGTTTCTATGTCTCTGTCTCTCTGTATCTCTGTCTCTCTCTGCCCCCCGCCCCTTTCCCTTCTACTCTCTCTGAAAAGCAAAGGAAAAAGATATCCTTAGGCAATGATTAAAAAAATTGACCATAATGGTACAGGTTGATTTCTGGGGTCTCTGTTCTGTTCTATTGGTCTATTTGTTCTTGTGTCAGTACCAGATTGTTTTGATTGCAGTGGCTTTGTAGTATAATTTGATATCCA